ACAAGTAAAAACCGTAGGGATATTACCAACCTTTTCTTCTTCCTCTTTCAGCCGACGCCATCGCGCCAAGGCTGTCATGGCCTTTTCAGCATTTCTCGCCTAGAAAAAGAAAATTTACCTAATTGCAAGGAAAACCTAACAGAGCCCGAACTTACCATTCTTCAGGAGGAACGTTGCCTCTGATGAGCCTCTAGAAACCACGACAATTGAAAGACCTTAGAAAAAATAACAAAGAACGGACGTTAGAACAACACAGCAGAGAAGCACAAAGTGGGTAGACGTTTGAATTTTCGAATAATAAGCAAATAGTGCAGTCACGTATAAAGCCAAACGAATGGCGCCATATTCGCCCAATTAATTTGCGCCCCGTGCAGGTAGTTTGAATTTGGGTAGTTTTATTCGATTGCCTTGGTTCTTGCATGCTTATGAACTTCTTCCTTCTTTGGTGGGTGAATGTATGAGGTTTTCAAACTGTTATGATCCAAAGCCCCGTCATTTTTTACAGGACTTAAGGGGCAGAAATGACTGCTGATGTAGCCAATTCATGCACAGAGGAAGATACCCATTCTAGTTTGGAAGGTGATCGAGTTTATGAGCCTCTTCTTTCTAACTCCCAAAATTGGCCACAACAAATTTTTCTTAAATAGTTTTTTAGATGGTTCAGAAGGTGAAGAGGGTGAGATTCTTGACACCGACGATTCCGGTTTCATACCACTTTCTGGAGGTACGTTCGGTGGGCTCAAGTTCTCTATGCAGATAGTATTAGAATTGGAAATTTGCAGCAAAAGCTGCTATCGATGACGCTCAAGAATCCTCAAGCGATGACGAGCCACCTGAAGAGATCTTGAACAGGGTTGCTAAGGAGGTAAATACATGGGTATTTACTGCGGTTCCACTTTTAAGGATAGTTCATTCATGGGACTTTACGTTTTCCAGAAAGCCGAGGAAAATGGATTGATAGAGCCTGTACTAGATCCGAAGTTGTGCGCGATCTGTCAGAAAACTCCGCATAAGTACAGGTCGGTGCTGCTGTGGATTGGTTTTGTACACTGGGCAGTATTGTTACATGTGTTCCTTCTAGGTGTCCAAAGTGTGACATGAGGACGTGTTCTGTAGCTTGTTCCAAGCAGCACAAGGAAGTCAAAAACGTTAGTCTTTCGAGGTCGAT